ATGCCTTGCTGGTCTGTTTCAGGAGTGTTCGGGTGAAACGGTAGCAGTGGATTTTTTTTTTTTTGAGGGGGGGGGGTCTCATTCATATCGTATTGTGTGTTTCACGGTTAGTAGGCCTACGACATCTCTCTTACACGTGTACATGGACGCAAATCCACAAATTTACATACACACAATCACCCCCACACACATACAAATACTCAAATACAATCACACACGCACATACACATACATACCAGCAAAAATACACACCTACCTCTCACTCATTTTTCCTTCCCTTCCCTGTTTCCCCTCCCCCCTCCCCCCCTCTGATACCTTGGCCGATGACATTCACATAACCAGTAGGTTGTGCGCTTTCAAGGCCAGTCAGTCAGTCAGTCAGTCAAAGTCAGCCAGTCGTTGCTCGTGGTAAAACGGATAATGTAAAAAATATATGAGGGGAAAGGGAGAAAGGGGTGAGGGTGGAGGAAAGGAAGAGGAGGGCGATGGAGGGGTGGGAGGGGCGAAGAAGGAGGAAATGGAATAAAACGGAAATTGTGAAATGGGAAAGGGGGACGATAAGGGAAGGGGAAAGAGAGAAGAGGAAAGAGGTCACACAGTTGTATATATATGCATATATGTATATATATATTTTACATTTTTATCGATGATTTCAGAATAGTGGATGCTTGTGCGTTCCGATAGACTGCCTATGACTGCTTTGTAAGCTTCTGAATGATATATATGTTACTAATAATGTATTGCGTGATATTCCTTACTTTTATTACTAAATACTAAAACGTTAATAATGTTTGTCTCGAGAAAAGAAAAGTGCAATGCGATGCACAAATACAGAAAGCATAAATAATTTAATTTCAATGTTCATCATAATCGTAACACATTTAACGATATAGAATTACGTCATCGCAGTTGTAAATCTTACCATTCATAAACACAAAGCAATTAGATACTACGGATTCCACCCATTAGAGCAGTGGCGATGAAGATTACAGTGCCATCACAACGGACGGGGTCCTTCATCCTTATTGAACCAGGCCGTAAGTCGCCCACTCCTCAGTTCCGTTCATCGCCGTCGTCGTCATTTATTACAGTTACTCGGGAGCCGAAAGAGCGGATGGCCCAATAAGAACACTATCGCAATACGTAACGTGCAGAGGGGTTGCTGCAGATGACGGCGGTTAGGAGTCTGTGCTAGATCCCTTGGGGAATTCGCTGTTGCGAAAGTTGGTCTTTGTCACTCACACATATATATATATATATAATATATATATATATATATATATATATATATATATATATATATATATATATATATATATATATATGTGTGTGTGTATGTGTGTGTCTGTGCACACACACACGTGTATATGTATTATATATATATATATATATTATATATTATATATATATATATATATATAACATATATTACAGATATATACACCGGGACTGATAGACAGATATATTATGAACGATTTTATGGACTCAAGCTTTCTCTATTTCGTCTGTCTTTGCCTATTCCATTTCTTCCTGCAGTACCTGTTTACAGGTGTTGTCTCCCTTCCTGCCTCTTAGCGGGATTGCTTCATCGAAAACCAGAGGGAAATTGTTCAATGATATTCGTTTCTGACGCGGAAAATTAGGCTTATCTGCTCAATTGAGAAATCATTGTGCATCAAGCATTGTAGGGAAAGTAGTGATTAAAAAGTAAAATGTGTAGGCTAGAGAATCCTTGGTTATGTAATGACTTTCTGCATGTTCCTTCTGGAATTAATGACACTTATCCAACTGAACCATCCAATGATTTAGTCTACATAAATCAATTATAGTCGAGTACTAACAGACCCGCCTGTTATTATTATGTTTTTTTTAGAAAATTATTCTTCAAAGCATATAAGAGACAGGGAGTAATAAAAATCTATCTGCTATCGTGAATTCAACCATGATCCGGTTACGCAATAGCAATACAGCTAACCTTCACCTTCTTGGGGACGCGGGAGAGTACCGTGAACCAGCGCCATGGATCACGCACGGTTGAAATGGTGTTTACATCAGCCACGAGCGAGCGAAGATGAGTTGTCGCGTGTCGCTATGGTGGAGAAACTGACAATCAGGCAGTTTTACCATTTCTCACTGAGGTCACGTGTTTGCCGCAAAATACAAATATATATATATTTTTTTTTATTTTTTTATTTCTAAATATTAACTTGTAGACTGGTTGGCATGCTGATGCGGTGATTTGTGAGGGACCGTGAATGTAAAGATTGCTTTGGAAAGACGGGGGATGCATATTGATGCAGGGATAACTTTCCCGCTTTTATAGTTGTGATCCCTTGGACTGTTGGAGTAAGCGACCTGCAGCTTGTTGGGAACAGCTTTGAGAATTATTGACAGAAGGAAAAATCTTTTCCTTCAGGACTGATGTCCTTGTGCTCATTTTTTTCGAACTTTTTAATTATTCTAATATTTGCTTGTCATATATGTTAAAATATCGGCTTTCGTTTTCATTCCATTCTATTATTTATATTTAGAAGACAATATCTTACCGGCATTGGAGAATTAAAAAGAAGAGAAAGTAATGATCCAAATACGAAAAAAATATCACTCTTAAAATGAGTCCGATATAAAACCCACTACATCCTAACCCCTCCCCCGCCCCCCCCGTTCCCGCCCATTCTCCCCGGCTGAGACTGCTTCCATTTCCGTCGGAGGCACATGGACCCTGTTTTTTTGGCGCTAAGTGTGATTTTCACAGCTCAATCAATCAGTCACTACATTTCTGATCTCCTCCCTTACAGATGCGAAAGAGCCAGCTAGCCGTGTTGACCGGGCTTGTCCTCGTGGTCCAGCTGGGGTGCGACGCGAAGCCCCAGTCCGTCCAGGTCAACAACCAGGCCCTGTTCACCCTGGGGGCGGTGGCCCTCGCTGCCGGTCTGGGGTACCACTTCGGCCAGAAGTCGACCAACAACCGCAGGCCGCAGCAGAGCCAGTTCGGGTGAGTGGCTTTGGTCGCGGGTGTCCTGCGGGCTCGATGCGTCTTTGTGATTAGAGTTTAGTGCGTGACGTAACTTAATTCAAAAGTTAATGTAAATAATGACAGTGATTTTGTAATATCGATGCTTATGAATTTATTACTTGTTGACCGGTCATTATCCTTGTAGGTTTATTAAGAGGAATGTCATCAGTAAATTTGGACAGGCATTCAAAGTTATTAGTAAACAGATACGGCAACATTCTTTTTATGAACGAGAACCTGAAAAATGGAAGGATCTGCAATTGGATCGTCGTTACCATTTTCTGAATCATTGGTACTTTTTTAGTATTTAAAATAGTATTGTCTTATCTATTAATATTACTTACGATAATTAAAAACCTTGAAAAGAAGACTCTCCTTAGTACTCCACCCGTTAACCTTATATTAAAAAAAAATTGCCATCACTGAATCAATTAATATTACTTACGATAATTAAAAACCTTGAAAAGAAGACTCTCCTTTGTACTCCACCCGTTAACCGCCTATCCTCTCTCTCTCTCATCCTTCCTCTATCCAGGAACCAAGGCTTTATCCCAGGATTCTTCCGTCGACGTCGTCAGGCAGAGCCAGAAAATGAGTTGGATCCCCTGGTGACGAAGCTGTTCAAGATGGCTTTGGACAAGGATTCGAACAGCTGCAGTCTCCGGCTAACCTGCAAGATCGGCACCAAGCCCCTGTCATCCCTCAGCGGCCACGCCAGGAACCTCTTCGGCGTTCTGAGGTAATTCGGTGGTTCGGTAGTTCGTGTATGTGTTTATAGGTGTCTGTGTTTGTTTGTTCCGTATTGTGATTCTGAACTTTGCATTTTTCATTAACGGGCTGTGCAATTTCTTGGTATTACGTTTGCAAGGTTTACACCCTCTTTAGATATAAATTATCGAGTTCTCTTCAAGGTAATTAGCTACTAATATCCCTGCCACCAGTACTTATTATTTAAGTATCACAGTATCAAGTATCAAGTCTTCGATTTGTATCACAAAAAGTTTCATTGCTTACATTTTCTCTTGTTTTTTTCTCTCTACTACTGTACGTAGAATATTCAAAGGCCTAACTCTGCAAAGGTCTTCTCTGTCATCATTTCTAACTATCGGAGCCTGTTACTCCTACAAAACCTAAGACTTGGATCCTCATGGTACATAGAATATTGAAACCCAATTTCCATAAAACACAAATTCCTACACAGAAACACTTCCAAAATCTCTCTCCTGCTTCCAGCAAAGAAAACGAGAAGCCTGTCGCGATTGCCAAGGACGAATTCGACGGCATCGACGCTTACAAGGTGGCCCTCAACCTCGGTCGTGACGGCGGCGACTGCGACCAGCTCTTCCCCCGCTGCCCCTCGACCTCCGGCCAGCTTATGGACGTCTTCCAAAGCCTCAAAGTCTCTCCCAACTAAATCTTCAAATCTCTTTCTTGCTTTTTCTTGAGATTTTAGCCCTCCGAGTCCTCTCTTCCAGTCAGGCGCCCCCGCTGGTATTTCGAAGTCCCTGGTTTTCACGAAAAGTCATGTTTACCTTCCGAGTCCTACCTCAATACCATGAATTGAACTCAAGATAACTGCGTGGTTGTTCAACTGTCCAGCCTTCCTAAATTTAACAAAAGAGATCCACAACCTTGCGTTTCAGCTATCCATTTCTTCACAGCAAATTTCAACCAGGTATCGAAGTTCGGTTTGATAGTCAAAATGTTCTTGTATATAAGTTTTAGTTTCGATTCCATATACTTTCGAGAGATCTCAGGAGTGTTATACGCTTCTCAACATAGATGTTTATTTATAGTAAATATTGTATATTTATGAAATAAAGGAATTTCTACAACCAATGTTTTTTCCTCTTGTACACGAACTACAAAGAACAATGGATGAACAGTATTTTCCTCTTCATATCAGTGTGCTAACGGATTTAGGAGGCGCGATCCTATCCAGGCATTGCACACTTGCTGGCGTCAATTTAAGATCTGAAAATCC